AGAGGATTCGGCAACTGGGTCTCGAGGTGGCTCTGCACAAGTCCGAGGCCATGCACTTCCATGGTCCTCGGAACAGGCCACCACCGGGATCCTCAGTGATGGTAGGAGGGGTATCCATCGACGTCGAGTCGACGCTGAAGTACCTAGGACTCGTCCTCGACGGCCGATGGAACTTCGTTGAGCACTTCCGACGTTTGGCTCCCAAACTGGAACGGACCGGGGCTGCCTTCAGGCGGCTCCTGCCGAACCTGGGAGGGCCAAACGCCTCCTGCCGGAGGCTCTACGCGGGGATCGTGCGGTCCATGGCCCTTTACGGGGCCCCGGTGTGGGCGCGTGGTTTGGCGCGGCTTGCCGTCCACCACCTGAACGCGCCCCAAAGGGTGATAGCCGTGAAAATGGTTCGCGGCTACCGCACGATCTCCCGCGAGGCGGCGAGCCTCCTTGCCGGACTGCCGCCATGGGATCTGGAGGCGATAGTCCTCGCGCGCCTGCACGAATGGCGTGCGGAGGCACTATGCCGTGGGGAAACCCCGCTGCCGCGGCAAGTTGTCGCGCAGCGGACAGACTTCCGGCACGATCTCATGGCGACATGGAGACAGCGACTGTCGCAACCCCGTGCTGGGTACGCCACTATAGCGGCGATAAGACCCCTCTTTGAGGAGTGGCTTGAGAGACGCCACGGCATCCTCACCTTCCGCCTGACGCAGGTTCTCACCGGACACGGTGTGTTTGGGAGGTTCCTGCACCGAATCGGGCGGGAGGAAACGCCCGGGTGCTCCCACTGCGAGGATGGACCGGAGGACACGGTGGAACACACCGTGGAGGTGTGCCCTGCTTGGGCGGAGCACCGCCGGGTCCTCGTAGCGGCGATAGGCGGCGGTGACCTCTCGCGTCCGGCCCTGGTCGAAGCCATGGTCCGGAGCGAGACGGAATGGGATGCCGTCACCACCTTCTGCGAAGCAGTGATGCTGGCGAAGGAGGTGGCGGAGCGGGAGAAGGAGAGAGCAGCAGCTTTCCTCCCCGGCCGCCGCGGGAGACGCCCCGGGCGTCGGGGGCTACGTCGTGGCCCCCGGCCACCGTAGGCGCGGGCCTGTGGACGGCGAGCAATGGGTAGCTCGTCGTCCGTCCGTCTAATGACGACAGGCCGTGTCGACGGCGCGTTTTGTTCCACGCGCGCCTCAAAGAGCTGTCAGCAGCGTGAAGGGGCCCTCAAGGGCCGACGCCTGCCGGGGCTGCGGGCTGTTCGAAAGAGATACCGCGGCTCCGGAACGTAAGGGCACTGAAGGAACACGGATGGTTTTTAGTCAGTAAAAGTCTGACACTCCCTTACGCTCCACCCAGAGCGAAAGGGGTCATTAGATGATTTTCCATCCGCAAAAAAAAAAAAAAAAAAAAAGGGGGAGCTAAAAATATCCGGTGGAGGTTCGGTTGCCACCTACGACGACTCGACCTGACAACATAAAACGCACGCAACTTTAGGACTGACGATAGGATCCTGGAGCTGGAAGAAGAGGTAGACAAGTTGCGCTGGCATATTAAAGGATTATCCGAGATCCGAAGAAAGGAGGAGGACACGGTATTCCTAGAATCCGGCAACTTGTTCTATCACCGAGAGGGCGACCCTCTGTCACAAGGAGGTGTCGGATTTATCGTCCACAAGTCTCTCATCAACAACATTGTAAACATTGGGAGTTTGTCAAAGAGGGTTGCGTAGCTTATACTCAGAAACTAAACGGTATTCGTCATGCAGGTTTACGAACCAACCTCGACACATCCCGATGAGGAGGTAGGAGAAATGTATGAGGATATCTCTAAAACCATGCATTCCTCCAAAACCCACGGTGTTAAAGGTAGACTTCAACGCAAAACTAGGCAGAAGGAAAAACGTTGAACTTAAGGTAGAGAAATTTAAAATAGGGCAACGGAACCCAAGGAGCCAGCAGCTGGCCGACTTCATGGAGAAAGAGGGACTCTTTGTGATGAACTTTTTCTTACATAAGCGTCCCCACTGGAAGTGGACTTGGTCGAGCCCCGAAGACACTTTTGACAAAAAATGAGAATGACTTTATTATAACGACCAGACGCCAACTCTTCAGTGATGTCTCAGTGATCGCGAGGGTGAAAACTGCAGCATTCACCGAATGGTTAGTGGCATACTGAATCTAAACGTTAAGTTGGAGAGGTCTCGTCTAATAAAGTCAACGCACCATCCCCCTCGTGCGCTAATCCAGGATCCCGAAAACTTTCAGCTCGAATCGTAGAACTATTTTCGGTGCCTAGATGACTGCAATACAGTGACCGATATGAATGACAAGGTCGTAAAAACTGTCCATGCGGTCGGAGCTAAGTTCTGCAAGAACGGCCGAAGAAGATTACAAAAACTCTCCGATTATACTCTTGATCTCATTGCTCTTAGACGGAAAATGAATCTGCAATCTTCAGCAGAATTGACAGCATACAGGCATTGAATAAAATTTTTATTAAGAAATCATTATAGCATACAGGCAACTGAACAGACAGATCTCCAAATACATGCGGCGGGCCTTATGCAACTTCAATACAGCTCGTATTGAAGAAGCGATTGAGTGGAAAATATCATAGAATATTTTAATTTTACTCAATGTCAAAAGCTCATACTATGAAAGTATTCAAAGTACATATCAAATTTATAAAAAGAAAAAGAAAAATTCCTATTAAAGTAAATTAATCTGATGTGTCGTAAACAGTGTGATGCGATTAATAATGTACCAAAAAAGAAAACTATATTTATTAATTTAAGTACAAAAAATTGTGTTTACCGGCACGAAACATTATAGATACATAATACAGCTAATTATGGAACGTTGTACAAATGTAATATATAACTACACAAAAACATATATTAAAATATACGTGTTTTCTTAAGAATATTTGCACTATTCAACGAAGATATTTTAGGAGACACCATTGTTTCAGTTTGTGACGCATTGCTTATATCTGAACTAGATGGGTATTTAGCTGTGAGTAGTTCTAATTCTGCCATGTTTTCAATTTTCCTACGAAATTTATCAGGAAGAATTATTATTATTTTCTCTTCGGACGACCAGCAACGTTTTATACCAAAATGTTTTGGCGCTGAAGTGAATACTTGATACCTAGTCTTGGTCAAAAACTTGGAGATGGTTATACCGTAGCCTTTCAGTCCAGTTTTACTATCACATACTAACTGTATGTTATATACGTTTTGAGTTCTATGTGTGTGTATTTACATTCACAATAGACATGTTGTAATTATGATTTTAATTAATTTTATATTGAGCTCACTAAATTCGAGTGTTTAAGTTGCGACTACCCGCCAATAACAATTTATAATATAATACAACAAATATATAATATATTTGAATACTGAGGGAGGATACTATTACGACGGTGTATTCCGTCTTAGTCCTCAGGGTCGACAATGCATCTGTATTTTGCTGCTTAATGAATAGATGTAGATGTTTGTGGGACACATCATCCACTTACCATCGAGGAGTGTTTGCTCGTTTGGTCACCCTATTCTATCAAAACGCCAATAACTGTCTTTCCATCCAATTATAATATAAATGTATTCAAGGCAAGAGTGAATAAATAGGTTTTTGTTAACCTAGGTTAATCCGCTTTACCATCTTAAACTGCAAGAACACTTACCATCAGGTGGGGTTTGTCTGTACGATACAGCATCAGGTTAATAAGACCAACAACTATCGGAAATACATCCTATAGGTTGGCGCTGTCGACATCTGTGGAGCTTGCCGCCTTCCCGGTAAACCTAGTAACCAGAATTCTACACAAGGAGTTCGCTCTGAAATACGGTCTCGTGGATCGGAATCTGCCTTATTATAAGTACTTGTCGGAAGCCGTGCTTGAAAATGACCGCACCAGGCTCTGGGACTGGGACCGGGACATTATCACAAACAGGACTATTCTTGCGAATAAGCTTGATATTGTGTTGATGGACCGGGCACAGTCAAGGATATTTTTGGTCGACATTATCATTCATGACGAGAACCTAGTGAAAGCCGAAAGAGATAAACAGACAATATATCTCGACATGGCTGACGAGGTGATCTCCATGTGGGAGTGGTCTGCCAGCTGAAATTATTCCTATGTTCGTTTCTGCAAACGGGCTAATCCCAGTCAGCCTCTCGGGTCATCTGAGGCGACTGGGACTCCGTGACGGACCGCTCCGGGCTCAAACGCAGAAGACGGTAAATCATCATTAATTGACAGATAACAAACAAAGGCCTGTAGAAAAACATGAGTACTTATAAGCAACAATAATAAAAAATATTGAAAAAAATTACAATATTACTGAAATACAAAAATATAAATAAAATAAATTCCAGCAAATAAATTAACACATCTTAACATGCTAGACCAATATTTAAATATTTCACTACAATTTTTCGTTAAAGTTTGAATAATCGCGTTTCCAGATTCGAGATGATTACTTCTAAATCTGGCCAGACGATGTCTTATCAAAGCATTGTTTTACTGAACCTTAAAAATTCGATAGTTTTCCTTTTTAAATTCATATAAGTCCAGAGTTGCGGCGTGTAAAGTCGCATATATATATATATATATATATATATATATATATATATATATATATATATATATATATATATATATATATATATATATATATATATATATATAATTTATACATTTATATATAGAACGCGCAAAGGGCCGCTGCCTGGGGGTCGCTGGGGCGCGTCTGGAGCTGTCGCTGGACGTGACAGCTTGCGAACCGCCAGCCGAGCACGAGGTGCTGCTCGACCACCTAGCAGCCCCTCACATCCATCATCCCCACCAGCAGGCTTGGTGAAGGCAGGGTCTTCGCGGCCCCAGCAATCGGCACCCGCCACTGGTGGAATACGCCGTATGCGTTGCACAATCTTAATGAATATCAACGCATTGCGGGCGTATTGCACGGCGATGGGGGAGAAATTGGAGGTTTTGCGTATCGGGCATGGATGCATCGACTTTTTGCTGAGCTGGAGCCATCTGTAACTGTCACCGCACAAAACCTGGCAGACCGAGTTCGGTATATCTTGCGCTCAAATATATTTGATGACGTCAAACTCGAACGGCTACGACGGGAGGCTTTTCCCTCATCAAATGAAAATGCTACGACTAAGGATGCGGTGCCACAAGTTGCAGAACAACCCGCACACGTGGATACCGCCGCGAATACCCCAGTGGCTGATTCAAATGATGATGGAACATTCGCCCAGGAACTAGAAATAGAGCAAATGAGGAGTACATTGGAAGAGGCGATTATGGAAACGCACAATACGCCTCTCGAAATTCGACCGCGACTTCCCCGCATAGCCCTAAGCAAGCGGAATCGGGCAGTCGTGAGGGCTCTGAACCCAATGATGGTGACCTATTTGGAAACCAGCCGGGACCTTTGCGATACGGACTCAATTCTTTTTGGCGCCGCGCTGGCAGTCTGCCGTATCATAGGCGCCAAAGTTTCCACGGCTGGACGCGCTACTGGCCAAAGTAGCGCTATCCCAGCATGGAGAAAAAGAATTGAGGAGCGTATCGCAAAAACTAGAACTCTCATCGGCAGACTGATATGCTTCAGATCAGGCAATAACAGGCCAAAAATTGTGCGCACCGTCAGGATGGCATTTACTGGGACAAATGTCAGTTTTTCCTGATATAATGCAAAAACTGACGGAGCGCATAGATGATCTGAAGCAGAGAATCACTGCTTGGGGAAAGCGGATTCGGCGATATACCGAGAGGTCGACACTGTTCAACCAGAATCGTCTCTTCCAGAGTGATCAGAAGAGGCTCTATGAATCATTGGAGTGACCAATGGCAAGTGGAACGGGCCCAGCATCGAATCAGGCCGACACTGTAACATTCTGCTGTGGCCTGTGGTCAGAGCCCGTAAGCCACAGCGAGGGCTCTTGGACAGAAGTTGTGGCGAGTCAGTGTGCGAGTATAACGCCCATGGACCACGTCATTATAACGCCGGATGACGTAGCCGAGGCGGTCCGTAGGGCCCCGAACTGAAAAAGTCCGGGACTCGACGGGCTGCATCACTACTGGCTGAAGGGGTTTGTGGTGTGTCACACTGCGCTCGCCCGACAGTTCCAAGAGGCTCTCAACCAGAAGTCACTCCCGAGCCTCTTCACTACTGGGATCACTTATTTGGTTCCTAAAGACCAGGATACCACAGACCCGAGCAAATACCGCCCCATCACGTGTCTACCGACCATATACAAGACACTAACATCCATTTTGAGCGCGAGAATCACTCGTCACCAGGACTGAAATCAGGTGATGTCGCGCGCTTAAAATGGATGTCGGGGCGGTGGTCGTGGTACCAAGGAACCACTTCTCATTGACGCGGTCATTGGCAAAGTGGTGAAACGCAGCCATCGGAACTTCTCTGCCGCCTGGATAGACTACAGAAAGGCATTCGACTCGGTGCCCCATACATGGCTAAAGAGAGTCCTCGAGCTATACAAGATAGACTGTATAATTAGAGACTTCCTCGAGCAATGTATGGGGCAGTGGAGTACGATCCTTTGCCATCTGGGCGAGCGGATGATGGCTGCGGAAACCCACATAAGGATAAGAAGGGGTATCTTCCAGGGCGATTGTCTGAGTCCAATCTGGTTCTGCCTCTCTTTGAACCCTCTCAGTACATTACTGGAGGGCTCCGGGAGAGGTTTTCAGCTTCGGAAAGGAGGTACAAAAGTGACCCACCTTTTTTATATGGATGACCTCAAGTTATTCGCCTCCAGTCGCTCCCATCTTGTGGAATTGCTAAACATCACTTGTGAATTTAGCAATTCCATTGGAATGGAGCTGGGGACGGATAAATGTGCGGTCCGCCATGTTGAAATTGGAAGGGTTGCTAACTTTGAGGGCATAGACTTATCTATGCCCATCAGTTTAAGGACCCTTTCCGAGGCTGAAACATACCGATACCTGGGTGTGTCACAGAACATCGGTATCGATGAGGCTGGTATGAAACAGTCAGTTTGCGACGTGTTTTATGCACGCTTGACCAAAGTGCTCAACGGCCTTTTGTCTGTTGTGAATAAGACACACGCATATAACGCTTCGGTCATGCCTGTCCTCATGTATACCTTTGGCATACTCGGGTGGACTCAGGCTGAACTTAACGCCCTGGATAGAAAAGTCCGCACTACTATGACGTCCCATAGGATGCATCATCCGAGATCGTCGGTAATGAGGCTGTACTTGCTGCGAAAGCATGGTGGGCGTGGCTTTTTGAGCGCGCTCACCATGCATAATCGCGAAGTGTGCAGCCTCCGTAATTACTTCCCGGTGAGATCGGATGATCCATTCTATAAGGACATCATTTTTTGTGATAAAGGACTTATCCCTCTATCCTTAGCCAGCGAGCAATGGCAAGACCCGGCAGTGCAGAGCATTTCCGACCGGTAGACCGTATGGAAGGAGAAGGAGCTCCACGGAAGGTTCTACAAGGCTCTACATGAGCCTTTCGTAGACATAGTGGCCTCCCTCTACTGGCTATGCGTTGGTGACCTCTTCGGGGAAACCGAGGGTTTTTTCCGTGCAATACAGGATCAGGTTATTAAGACCAACAACTATCGGAGATACATCCTAAAGGATGGCACCGTCGACATCTCTCGAGCTTGTCGCCATCCCGGCGAATCACTTAGGCATGTTATCTCCGGTTGTTCGGCGCTTTCTAACTCTGAGTACTTTCACAGGCACAACCTAGTAGCCAGAATTCTTCACCAGGAGCTCGCTTTGAAATACGGTCTCGTGGACCGGAAATTGCCGTATTACAAGTACTTGCCGGAAGCCGTGCTCGAAAATGATCGCGCCAGGCTCTACTTGGACCGAGCCATCATCACAGACAGGACTATTCTTGCGAATAAGCCTGATATTGTGCTGATGGACCGGGTACATTCAAGGATATTTTTGGTCGACATTAACATTCCGTATGACAAGAACCTCGTGAAAGCCGAAACAGATAAACGAACAAAATATCTGGACCCGGCTCACGTCTGTAGTCGTTTCTGCAAACGGGCTAATCCCAGTTAGCCTTTTGGGTCATCTGAGGAGGCTGGGACTCCGTGACGGACGGCTCCAGGCTCAAATGCAGAAGGCGGTGGTCCTCGATACCGCCCGCATCGTCCGCCGGTTTCTCTCCCTTTCCCCCTAACCCTCGGCCGTTTGATCTCCCTGCCGAGGGCCTGCCGATAATTATATAATTTTTTATAGTATTGTTGCAGTTGCATCTGGAATATTACTTAAAATATGATCGATTCAAGATGACTTAAATGCATGTACATCAATGTGTATTTTTAAATTGTAATTATAAGATAAATCTTGTGGTTCATTTGTGATATTGCCTCCTTTGAATGTGTTTATGTTAAAGTCACCAGTCAATGTTATATATGTGCTCTAGATCGGTATTTCATAGTTAAGTCGTGTAAGAGATTATTTAGTTTACACAGAAACTGGGTCGGGTCTAATTGGAATGTTCTATAGAGACAGACAGTTATTAATTTAATACACGTTAGTTCAATTCCGCAAACTATAAACGCATATTTTTTGCCAATGAAAGTTCATTAAAAATCAATCCTTTTTTGATTAAGATGCAGGTTCACCCTCTTTGATTTTTTTCCTTAAAATAGTAACAAAAGCATTCTACGGCATTTATGTGGTAAACATAAATGTATTCTTTGCAAAATACGAAACTATCTTAATATGCAGTGTGATCTCACCCTTTATAAGAGAAAAGTAATTTGAGGCAGGAGTACATGTATTAAACAACGGCATTCATGATATTAAATTCTGAGAGAAATTCTTCAATGTGCATATACATTGCAATGCGTTTTTGATATTATTTTGATTCATTCATTACAGCCTATCAAATGTCCTGAATAAAAAATAAGCCTATGATAATAAGTGGCTGTGAACAAATACGATGTAATATTTTTTCCTAAGAAAAATATTTACTAAAATTTTACTATAGTCAACCAAATCTAAGAAATACCTTTTGATATTTCACATTAATCATTCCGCAATAACTTTGCACAAGCGTACTTACACGATTTAAAATAATCTTTTGCTTAAATCCGAAGACTCACGTAGTTATCTATATTTCATTACAACGTGTATAGTTTTTTATTACTAATTCAAATTCGAATCTTTCAAACAAAGCAAAATATTAATAAATAACCAGTATTAACTTTTTTACTTGACGTCGTTTCAATGATATGTCGCTATGTACCTTACCATGGTGTTTGGATGATTAAAATTCATTGTAATGCGAATAATCGGCAAAAATATTCAAATAATTAGTAAAAAGCGCCATCGACTAGCCTTCGATGTATTTATACATCTGATGGAGAACCTGATAATCATCCATCCATCCATCTATTACTATCTATAAAATTTCACTGGTGAACATAGACCTCCTCAAACATTGTCACGCATTTGGCAGCCGCAGTTTTTCATTATTTTGAGTTGTTATGAGGACGACACTGCTGCCCATCTCCTGTTTAATTTTAACTATTGCATGTTACGACACTCACGGCACGACGTGAGTTAGAGGATATTCTCACAAGGCCACTTAACGATTTAACCTGATGATAATAGACTGGAATTTAAAATAGCTAACTTTAAACAAAAAAGCCTAACATCTAAGCTTGTTACCTAAGTTGGAATCTCTCACATCCTTATACAGATTCTCTAATCTTCAATCCATAACGCAACAGTGCAGGCACTACAAAATACAAATTGTTTGCGGAAATGGCAAAAAGGTGATACCTAACAAAACCATTACCCATACTACGTCAGAAGAAGCAAAACACTAATACCTAATTGAAACAAAAGAACTTTCTTTTCTTATACAACAAGTGTGAATATAAATAAGTTCGTATAAACCTACAGCTCTCCGCGATTAAGAATCAATATTTTAGTGCGTTGTCACCCTTAAGGACAAAAATGGCCTCATTACAATTAAAAAAGTCTCCAATTATCTGCACTTACCATACGAAACATAGCAGCATTAAGCTGCTTTGGTATACGGGTATATATTTTTTGTGAGTATGGTCTTTTCTCAGTCGAACCGGCTCATTAGTATAACATTAACTCAGCGTTATCGTGGCTCTAACACGTTAAAACTGCAAAGCAGTATTCGCTATTGAATTTATGCCTTTCCTATCGTCGTTTGCTGTAATCTCCAAATCGCAGTCGGGTATTAAATGTCACCTAAATTAGTCTATGTTTGCCATATAAATATTTTTAAGATCAGGCACAATAATACAGGAGATATCATTATCATTAATATAATATGACATTGGATTTTTTAATATAGAAATAGGGTAATATATACGAAGCACACAGCCCAACAGATCGTGAGTTAATGCTGTTGCCTATAGACTATACCTACACTTCCGTATGCACGATTAGGAATGAAATCACAGTCAGATCTGAAACTTTTAAAGAAATGGCATCCGTACTAGTAAAAAAAAAAACATAGCAGTACGATTGCTAATTTACGGTATGAATTCTATGCGAACGTTGCTAACCCGGTTGAGCCGAATCATTCGTGCTGCAACCATATTATATTTATAGCGTGCCTCTACAAAATAAAGGAATCATTATCCTTTTTAATAGTTGGCTTTTATGATACTCT